TGTGCGTCTTCAGATAGATACAGCCTCGGACATCACAATTATCTCCAGCAAAACTTGGCAGTATATTGGTGCTCCGTCAATCAGCCGAACGACACATGTTGCACTTAACGCTTCAGGAGGTCAACTTAATCTCATTGGTGAGCTGCAGTGTGAAATGGTTTTTGGTGCTGCTCGGGCAAACGGTGTCGTCTACATTACGGGCTTGTCACATATGAATCTTCTTGGACTCGACTGGATCCAGAAGCTCCACCTGTTCGACATCCCTCTGAGTCAAGTCTGCAATACCCTCCGGCTCGGATATACGAGGCCCTCTTCGGAAGGTGACAAACCAAACAACAACCTGATCGAGCATCTACGAAGGAAATTCCCATCTGTGTTTTGCAACGACTTGGGAGGATGCACAAAGACCAAAGCAAGCCTTACTCTCAAAGACGGATCCAAACCCGTATTCCGACCCAAATGACCGGTACCGTACGCTGCGCTGCCGATTGTTGTTGCGGAACTTGATCGTTTGGAGCGGGCCGGCGTCATCCAACCTGTGAACTATTCAGCGTGGGCAGCACCTATTGTTGTCGTCAAGAAGACCAATGGAACCGTCCGTATCTGTGCTGACTAATCTACGGGACTGAATGCTGCTTTGAAAATGCACCAGTATCCTTTGCCAGTCTCAGGAGATTTATTTGCTAAGCTCGGTGGTGCCGCTTGCTTTGCAAACCTAAATTTATGAGTTGCTTATCTTCAAATTGAAGTCGACGATGCTTCAAAGGAGTTGCTGGCAATCAATACGCACCGAGTTCTTTACCAGCTCAACCGTTTGCCCTTTGGTGTCAAATCAGCTCCCGCGATTTTTCAACAAATTATGGACACGATGTTAGCTGGGCTATCAGGAGTCGCAGCTTGCTTGGACGACATCATAATCAAAGGGGCTATCTTCTGAGAGCCAACGGAAAGACTGGAAGCAGTTCTCCACCGCGTTAACGACTACGGTTTCCACTTGAAAGCAGAAAAGTGCAATACCGGCATGAAGTGTGTAAAGTATCTTGGCTTCATCATCGACAAGGATGGCCGTCGTCCGGATCCTTCCAACATTAATGCCATAAGACAGATGCCTCCACCTGACAATGTCGCGAAGCTCAGATCATTCTTGGGGTTGATCAGTCATTACAGCTCTTTTCTGCCCGAAATGCATCGGCTACGAGGACCACTCAATGAACTTCTGGTAAAGGATCGCAAATTTGTGTGGTCTCCTGAATGTCAAGCTGCATTTGATAATGTCAAGTCTATATTGTATTCTGACCTATTGCCAACGCATTTCAATCCGGAGCTGGAGATCATGGTTGCTGCTGACGCGTCAGACTATGGATTTGGAGCAGTCATATCCCACATTTTCCCCAATGGTTCGGAGAAAGCTGTCGCACATGCAGCCAAATCACTCACCCCAGAGGAACGCAACTAGGGACAGATCGAGAAAGAAAATTTGACTATAGTGTTTGCAGTCAAGCGATTTCACAAAATGCTCTACGGACGAAAATTCACGCTATTCACTGACCACAAACCCTTGGTCACAATCTTTGGATCAAAGAAAGGCATTCCAGTCTGCACGGCCAGTCGTCTCCAACGCTGGGCAACGGTTCTACTTGGATACGATTTCGTAGTCAAATATCAATAGACACACAATATTGGTCAAGCGGATGCGTTATCTCGTTTAATCGGTACGCAGCATCAAGAACCAGAGGATTTGGTAGTTGCTCAAATCTCCGTAGAACCCCAAGTACATCAAGTTGTGTCTGACATTTTCGGTGCCTTACCAGTAACGTTCGAAATGGTGCAGGAAGCGACCCATCATGATTCTACCCTACAACAAGTGATCGATTTCCACCTCAATGGCTGACCTAAGAGAGTTACAACACCGGAGCTTCAACAATTCCACCAACGGAAGTAAGCACTATCGGTCGTCAGAAACTGCCTGCTGTTCTCAGATCGCATCGTCAATCCACACATCCTTCAAGAGAGAGTCCTCCGACAATTTCATACTGGCCACCCGGGAATGAATCGCATGAAATCGCCGGTACGAAGCTACGTGTATTGGCCCTATATGGATTCCCAGATCGAGAGTTTAACCAAGAATTGTCTTCGATGTGCTAGTGCATCAAAACAACCAAGGGAGACGGAATTGCAATCCTGGCGAATACCAACGGAACCATGGTCAAGGGTACACGTCGACTTTGCAGGTCCAATTGATGGTCACCGTTTTCCCATCGTTGTCGATGCCCACAGTAAATGGCCGGAGGTGATTCCAATGGTGAGAACCACAGCAGCAGCCACTGTCTCCGCTCTCCGACAGATATTTCCTCGTTTCGGTGTTCCCCACACGTGGGTTTCGGACAATGGAACACAATTTACCACATCTGAATTTGTCTTCTGTCGCAGAAACGCGATCGTCCACGTAAGGTCTTCACCTTTCCACCCACAATCGAACGGCCACTTGGAGCGATTTGTGGATACCCTCAAAAGAGCTTTGCTAAAGATGAAGGGGGAAGGTACCTTGGAGGAGATTCTTGCCACATTTCTTCTGACGTATCGCACAACTCCCAATCCGCAGACACCGAACGCCCTATCTCCGGCTGAAACTTTGTTTCAAAGGAAAATCCGTGTGCCGCATGATGCCCTCAGACCCAGGAAGGATCAGTTACTGTCCCGTAAGTATCAGATGGAGCGTCAATTCAACATCCGACACGGTGCTCGGAAGCGAACCTTTAATGTTGGTCAACATGTTCTGGCGAGAGATTACCGCATCCACTATCCTAAATGGGCTATGGGCCATGTGTTACACAAACGTGGTAACGTGATCTACGGTATCCAGGTTGGGACGGCAATTTGGGTAAGACATGCCAATCAGCTGCTAGAGGCACGGACTGGCGAACAACTGCAACAACAGGTACCAGCAACGCAGTTACCTCTGGACATCTTGGCCAACACCGGTGAAGCGAAGACTCCCCAACATGCTCCAACACTGCAAGCACAAAATTCACCCCGAAACCTAGCAGCACAGCGGCCGAAGCGGCGACGCAAATTCGTATCACCCATGTAAGTCAACCCCAAGCTGAAATCGTACAACACAACTCAAAGGGGGGAAGTGTTAGGAAGGAATACACGAGTCGAACAAGCCAGGACCCCATCGCCTCGGCCGGCTATCCAAACTCATCCGCCCTGATTGGGGCAAACAGAGAGCCAACCAGGAGAAGCGGCCAATGAACGCTAGGTTGAAGTTCCTTTATTGGCTGTAAGTTAACCTTTCCAGAGCTTTCCACGGTCGCTTTAAATATACTATTGACGAACTTTCCATTTTACCTTTATAATGAACGGTGTGATTTGCTAATTCATTCCTGTTGCTCTGCTCGTCCGATTCGTCTTCTCTCTGTCCTGTGGGGGGCCAGCGACTTCGGGTTTGATTGGCAATCAAGCGTCCATTCAGGCGAGGGACGAACACTTCAGTGATCCTACAGTGACAATTTGCACTTTGAAGGTGCGAAGCGCATACCGAATAACGGGAGCACTCTAGGCAAGCTATTCAGGGTTAAGTGGGCCGCTACAACATCGTCAAAAAAGCAAGACGATATCGTCCGCATAATCAAAATCAACAAACCTTTCATCAAGGCGGGACCTCAACAATTCCATCGTGAGATTCCGCAAGCGAGCACTCCATGCTGGAGTGCACGACCAAAATGAACAAAAATGGGGAAATCGGACAACCCTGACGAACGCCACTTGTTGTCAGAAAGCTATCCGACAGGTCACCGCAGACCGTGACGTGGCCTGTAGTGTTCGACTATAGAGCACGTACGATGTTCGCATACTTCGTGCGAACATCTTTCCGCGCAAGTATTTCGAACGGAATCGATCGAGCGACTGAATCGAACGCACCCTTAAACTTGAGGAATACAGCTATTGGCGGTCTGCGGTATGCATGGCGCTGCTCTAGCACCTACCGCAAAGTGAATATATGGTCTATACAGCCACATCGTAGGCGGAAACCTGTCTGATCTTCCCTAATCCGAGATTCTCGTTCCACAGTGAGGCGTACTATTCGCGGTACGTCTAGTTGTTTTATGTAGCTTTCCTCACCGAGAATCGAGATCAACGGTTTATGATCAGTCTGTATCTAAAACCGATTGCCCGAATAATACTGATGAAAAAAGCTTGAACACGAAAACCACTGCCAGTACCTCTGGCCATTTGCGCGTAAATCTTCTCAACAGCCTGTAACGTGCTGGACGCGAACGCAATGGGACGAATGATTTCTTCGTGGACATTAGGTCCTAGGACTGCTCCAACCGCAAAAATGCGTGACATCACACTGTAAGTTGATGGGCTTGTTAGGGTGGTAATGTACCAAAGTTGGTGAAGAAGCAAGCAGAACATTTGCTTTCTCAAACGCTTGTTCCCCTCTCATTTTCCATGACCACTTGGGGTCGTGAAGTCATGCCATAACGGAAGCAAGTTTGGGTTGGAAACCACGATAATACGAAAACAATGCACAAACGTAGCCGCACGGTGTCACCTGGAGTGTGTGTGCAGAAATAGTGGGCTGCAATTTGTTTTTCCGTGCTTGTTAACCTTGTCTATTCAGCCGATAACCAAGGTAGTCAACGAAATCAAAAATAAAAGTACATTTGGAGCGTTTGAAGGGCAAACCGTGTTCAGCCAGTCTAGGTATCAGCTGGTCCAAGTTGCGCAGGTGCCTCGAGGCTGAATTAATCCCAGCCGTAAGTCTGGTGCATTCAAATAGGCCCAAATGTGTAATGAGTGTAGTAAGATAGCGAGAGGCTTCTCACGTGAGTTAGGGATTACGTGTTCAACTACGAAAAAGGAATAATTGAGCAATACTTATCAGTTTTGTCGCTTTAGAGTTGACCTCATTTTGACACACCGGATTTTGCATCTCGGTCACTTCTCCATGTTGAGGTCACTGCTTCACCAGCGCTCATCATGCAGCACTCATGGTCACGGGTGATGATGATGATGATGCTGATGATGATGATGATGACGATGATGATGATGATGATGATGATGATGATGATGATGATGATGATGATGATGATGATGATGATGATGATGATGATGATGATGATGATGATGATGATGATGATGATGATGATGATGATGATGATGATGATGATGATGATGATGATGATGATGATGATGATGATGATGATGATGATGATGATGATGATGATGATGATGATGATGATGATGATGATGATGATGATGATGATGATGATGATGATGATGATGATGATGATGATGATGATGATGATGATGATGATGATGATGATGATGATGATGATGATGATGATGATGATGATGATGATGATGATGATGATGATGATGATGATGATGATGATGATGATGATGATGATGATGATGATGATGATGATGATGATGATGATGATGATGATGATGATGATGATGATGATGATGATGATGATGATGATGATGATGATGATGATGATGATGATGATGATGATGATGATGATGATGATGATGATGATGATGATGATGATGATGATGATGATGATGATGATGATGATGATGATGATGATGATGATGATGATGATGATGATGATGATGATGATGATGATGATGATGATGATGATGATGATGATGATGATGATGATGATGATGATGATGATGATGGTGATGTGATGATGGATGATGATGATGGTGATGATGATGATGATGACGATGACGATGATGATGATGCTGATGCTGATGATGATGATAGTGATGATAATAATAATAATAATAATGATGATGATGATGGTGATGATGATGATGATGTCAACTGATTACTGATTACTGGTTGGAAGCGGCAAGTAGAGTTTGCCCTGTGTAGCTGCATCAATTTTCACTCATGGAAAATGGCCGTTATGTTGACTTCCGCCCAATATATTTTGCGTCGGCAAAGTGTTTGTCCAGGAACTTATTAATTTCCTACACCGACTTTGCCTCAACTACGTCGTGCGGCAGGTCATTCCATACATTCAGCACCCTCCGTTCGAAACATTGTTGGTGAGCGACCCGCTTCAAATCCGGTACGACAAGCTTGTACCGGTGTCCTCGTGTGCTGCTTCGTGTGCGCAGGTGACGCAGTGGTCTTAACATGGGGTAATCTCCCAGACGTAATATTCGGTGCGTCATGATGAGGTCAACACGCATCCGACGATAAGCTAGGGTGTACAGCCCTCGTTTTTTACACCGGTCTTCGTACGGCACACCTCGTAAATTGGGAATCAGTCTGGTGACTACATAATGCACACGCTCAATCTTGTCTACCGCACCCCGGGTGATAGGACAATACGCGGGAGAACCATACTCTAGCATTGTCCGCATTATCGAGAAGAAGAGGCTAGTGGCAATCTCTTCGGACCAAGTGCTGAAGCTGCGCCTGAGCGCCCAAAGCATACGAAGGCTGTTTTGATAAAGCCTATTCGTGTTGTCCATGGAATTTAGGTTGTAGCGTGAGAGTACACCGAGGTCGCGCAAGAAAGGCACGGGATGCAACGGTTGACCAGCCACCGTGTAGATTCGACTGTGCTCACACTTACCCAGCCTCATGAATTGCGACTTGACCGGGTTGATCGGAAGGTTGACCACTGCAGACCACGTGGACAGGCGGTCGATGTCTTGCTGAAGCAGGTCACAATCATTGGGTGTGCGAATTACTCTCCACACCTTCAAGTCATCTGCGAACAACGCTCAATGTGATTGGGGTAGCTGAGGCACATCGTTTACATGGATGAGAAACCATATCGACCCCAGTACAGTGCCTTGGGGCAAGCCACTGCTCGATGGATACCAGTCAGTTAAATGGTTGTCCACTGGACCCTCCACTTTCGATCATCAAGGAAAATCCTGATCCATTGGTGGAGCGAGCCATCAACACCGCACACCCTCAGCCTGTCGCGGAGCACTGCATGATTTAGCTTGTCAAACGCCTTACTGAACTCAACGTAAATGACGTCGACTGATTTGCCTTGGTTCAGCGCTTGTAACTATTCGTGCCTCGTCAACAGTAAGTTGGTGATGCACCAGCGACCTTTCACGAAACCATGCTGTGCGGGCGTCAAGAGGCTTTTCGACTCGAGAAGCTGCAGAAGGCTCTTCTTCACGATCTTTTCGAGTGTCATTGCCAAAACAGCGGTCAGGCAGGTCGGCCGGTAATTATCCACTTTGCTTGGGTTACCACCTATCGGTATTGGCTTTACGACTGAGGATTTCCAGTCGCCCGGTAATAGTGCAGTGGATAGTGACCTGTTGAACAGCTCAGTTACTGAAGGCGCGATGATGGCCGATGGGGACTTGAGAATCAGTGGGTGGATTCCATCTGACCCCGGACATAGGTCCGGGGTTCGATTCTCCGTCGAGGCAGATTATTTTGCAAAGTTTTATCGTGCCTTCTACTTTCTATTAAATTACATACACAGAAAACCAGCAAGAGTAATTTTTTAGTCTTTGAAGTTGCAGGGATACGCCAATAGTGCGAAGTAAAACGTAAGCGTTTTCTAAAGCAATTGGTCGAAGCAAGCCTGTGTAAATTTCTGGGAGGAAATAAGTGAAGGGTTTAAGATTTGGGATATCATGTCCAGTTCGCCTGAATAAACAAGTACATCTTTGGACTCTATGCTCCTCGGCGTTTTTATATCCTCTTCAATGGCTTCCACATCTTCGTTATGCTCTTTCTTGTATGCTGCCAGTCACCAGAATTGTCTGACGTTCGTCCGCAACATGCATTTGCATGTCATCCCCCACGCTGGCAAACGAGTTGTTCTTTGTCTTGTATGATTAATTCCCCTCTGTTTTCGGCCACAGACCACTTGTGGTGCGCAAATCACAAATCAGAACTTGCGCACTCTCCCTAGGTTCTCTCACTTTAGTCGACCACTTCTGTCGTTGATGTGGTTTCGGTACCTACACTCTGATCCATCTACGCCAAATCACTTCGAAGTGATGTCTTACTTGTCTCCATCTTCTACTCCGTTTCATCGGTTAGTTGATCGTCGGGTTTATGATAAACTGATCATTCGCCAGTATCAACAGTGTTCTCGGCGATATGAACAATGAACAATGATATATTACAGGTAAAAAAGCGTGTGCTTTACTAGTCTCGTAGGATGGTTGAAGTGAAAGCATACAAGCGTTAATCGTCAATTGAAGAGCTGTCGTTTACCGCCCCCCAACGTCCACTCTAAAAATGGATTCCTGCTTGATCCGTGGCCTCAACAGAGTAACACGCACTAGGTATAGCCACATTCTCATCTCCAGGGATTTCAATCTACACAATCTGGAGGTTTCGGCATCGCCCAGTGAGCAGTTCAAAGCAGACTTGCAGGAACTGATCGCTAATATTCCTTTGTACAATCATGTCACCACGCCCACTAGATTCAGGACAGCAAACAAACCGTCCATACTGGACCTTGTGCTCACGAATAAAGAGCTCATGGTTGACAAGTTATTGATGGATAGTCCATTAGGTCTCAGTGACCATGTAGTAATAACTTGTGACTATGTGTGTTATGCAGAGTATCCATCTGAACACTCGGAACTAACTCATACAATCACACGCTACCACGTATTGAAAGAACTCGCCGACGCAACTGCTTGGGAATGCTCAAACAAAAGTCCCCTTGACAACGTTTGGGCAGAGTTCGTTAATAAACTCAGCGACGTCGTCAACAGAGCATCAGAGACCAAACCCCTTCGTCCCTCGAAAATGCCTTCAATTATAAGGAGTAGGACTCGCAAATGCCTGGCGATAAGGGAAGCAGCATGGCGGGCCTACAAGATTAACCCCGACTCAGAGAATTGGGAAAATTTCCTGACCCATCGCAACCATTGCACTGCACTTGTCCGTGAGGACAAAGTAACTTATCAACAGAGCCTAGCCAAAAAATTCATGGCAAACAACAAAAGGCTGTATAAGCACGTCAATAAGCTTCGTAAAGTGAAGCATGGAATCCCCCCACTATTCACGACAGGCCGTAGAGTACAAAGCGCCGAAGAAGCAGCTAATGCCCTGCGGCTTCAATACGCCCCAATCTTTGAACTCGCAACATCTACCTGTCCCATAATATCAAGCTCATTACCGACACCTTTGTTTACAAATGTTATTTTCAACCCATCAATTGTGCTAAGGAAGTTACTCTCACTGCGTGAACATAGTTCTCCAGGAGCAGACAACATCCGCCCGAAGGCACTGAAGGCTGTGGCCACCAAGCTAGCTGAACCACTGTCACAGTTCTTTCAAAGGTGCTTTGATGAACAACGAGTCCCCACTATGTGGAAGTGTGACATTATCACCCCTATTTTTAAAGGCGGTAACCGTTCCGATCCTGCAATCTATCGTCCAGTGACTCTCCTCCCTGTGCTCGCGAAGGTGATGGAAGCAGTCGTCGCTGACACTTTAATGGACTACCTAGAAAAATGCAACATTTTGGTACCGGAACAGCATGGCTTCCATCAACACCGGTCATGCACTACCAACCTACTTATTGCACGAGGTAGTTGGACGGAAGTGGCCGATGATGGGGTCGGAGTCGACGTCATCTATCTGGACTTCTCCAAAGCTTTCGACCGCCTTGATCACCGCATCCTACTTCAAAGACTACAAAGTTACGGAATCGGAGATCCTGTACTTGGTTGGATTGGCAGCTTCCTTTACCAACGAAAGCTTCAAGTACGTGTTAGGGGATCACTTTCTAACCCAATTGAGGTGGAATGTGGTGTCCCACAAGGCTCAGTGCTGGGACCACGTTTATTTCTGGTGTTTATCAACGACCTGGCAAGAGTCATCTCCTCAAATTTCCTGCTTTTCGCCAATGACGTCAAGATATGGCGGGCAATTAGTAACAAGCCAGATCAGGATCTGCTCCAACATGACCTAGATTGCATTTACGAATGGTCAAAGAGGAACAAGCTTCAATTGAACATGGCTAAGTGCAAAGTGATGCATCTGCGTCACCAGCCGGTGAGCGCTTACAAGATTGGAGACCACACCTTGGCGAAGGTCTCTCAGGAGCGTGACCTGGGTGTATTGGTGCAGGAAGATCTCGGGTGTTCAAAACAAGCAGAGAAGGCGACGAGAACCGGCAATCAACACTTCGGCCTTCTTCGCAGAGCCTTCGGTCGGTTTGAACCCCCAATATTTCCCCAAATGCTTAACGCCTACGTGCGACCTCACGTGGAATATGCTATTCAGGCGTGGCAGCCGTGGCAGAAACAGGATCTCGTTGCTCTCGAGACTCCTCAACGACGGGCAACCAAGAACGTCAGGGGCCTCTTTCATCTCCCCTATCAGCTTAGACTGAAATTTCTGAGAATGTACAGCAGTCGATATCGGCTTTTGCGGGCAATCTCATAATGGTTTACCAGATTCTGAAGAACCCAAACCACATTTGCCGTCCGCTGCTGGAATTGAACCACAACACTAAACTAAGAGGTCACCCTCTGAAACTGACAATTCATTATAGCCGACTTGAATGCCGTAGAAATTTCTTTTCTCTCCGCGTGTGCCAGCCTTGGAACGCCCTCCCTAATTATGTCGTCTCTGCTCCCAATCTGGCGATATTTAAAAAACGTGTTGACGATGCATTGTCTCACTTACATTTCATTTTATGACTTGTTAGCCAGGGGCTACAAAACGCAATCAAACGGTGTCTTGCCAAACGCCTAACCAATGGATTGATGGATTAATACGTTTAATACGCGAACATCTCCGCTATTCCACATAAGTCTATGGTGAGTCCACCACAACGATTTTCACTTTATTATGCAATTGATTTTCGCAATA